TCCTACCACTCTAACTGACATCTTACACACCATAACCTGACTGGACCATTACAGTCACCATACCAACCACTTCATGTCATATACATGTTCTACCACTCTAACTGACATCTTACACAGCATAACCTGACTGGACCATTACAGTCACCATACTGTACCAACCACTTCATGTCATATACATGTCCTACCACTCTAAATGTGTGCACTCTCAAGTTTACAACTATTCGCACCAGTCCCTTACAGAACAAGTATAAATAAGGTCGCTCCCAGATCCACCGCGCGCAGTTTCGTATAAAACTCGTTGTGGCAATTGCAGTATTGACGGCTTTCCATTCCTTTAGCCAGCTTACCCTCTCGCGCTCGCCTTCTCCGACCAGCAGCTGTGTTCAGTCTTTTTCTCCCTCTTTGCTCCCTAGCATCACCATCATAGATTTATTTTCTGCTCCCTTGACTGATCACGGTTGCATTTATCCCATTTTTATTTAACAAGCGTGAAAGGGAATGATGCGAATAGGATACAATTGGCTTATCCCACGTTGCCGTTGACTGGTTCAAATCTTACCTATCAGAAAGGACACACGTCACAGCAATCCAAAATGAATTTTCGTCCTCTAAGGGGGTTACAGTTGGTGTCCCACAAGGAAGCGTGCTTGGGCCATTGTTATTTATCATCTATGTCAACGACTTAACATCTGTGGTAAAGCATTGTGAGGTTTCTCTTTATGCTGATTATACTGTAATATACCTCTTCTCGTCTGGTCTACAAGAACTTGAGAACAATATCAATAATGATCTCAATAATCTATGCAAATGGTTTAATGACAATCTTTTGACATTAAATATTGACAAATGCAAATTTGTTTCATTTGGTAGCCATCGTAAGCTACAATCATTTAGAATGCATCGATCATGATTAATACAAACAAGCCTCTTGACCATGTTAATAAGATAAAATACTTAGGGATCACATTGAATGAGAATCTAACAAGGCACAATCAAATAGAAGTTATTAGCTTGAAGGTCTCACAAAGAATCAGTCTATTAAGACATATTAAGTATTTACTACCTGTAAGTGCCCATTTAGCTTTCTACAATAGTCTGATTTTACCTCTTTTTGAATATGCAAATTTGTCTGGGGCGACAAGAATAACGAGGTTCCTATACAACATTTACATTAGACCTTCCTAGATATACCTTAAGTGAACGTCGCCATCGCCATCGTTGTATTGCAGTTTCTAAGTATATTAATAATAACATAGATTATGATTTCAATTTCTTAACAAACAAATCTATACATAATTATTGTACTCGCCACCGTTCAGACATACATCTTCCTGCTGTTCGCACAATTTGCTGCAAACAATGTTTTAGTTTTCATGCTGCGAAGGAATGTAATAATCTAGATAATTCTGTAAGAAATGCCTCAAATTTAAAAGAATTTAGAAAATTACTCTGATTAGATTACATATACATATACGTAGAATTTTCAATATATTTGTTAGATATATATCTACATAGCTATAATAAGAACTATTTTAATTATTTACAATTTTCTGTATTTATATACTTATTTTATGTTACTTCTAACTTTTTTAACTTTTTAACCTAATTTCATATTTATTTAATACTTTATTTATTTAGTTTTATTATGTTAGGGCATCTTTGAAAATCACTTAATGTCTTTTGTATCCAAAGACGCCAAACAACGTGTGCAAATGGAAAATATATGGGTTTAATACTAACCTTGAAATCGATCGATCCGATCAACCAACAACTGCCTTGAATATATATTCCGAATTCACTTGTACTATGCGCTGTCGTTTGTCGATTGTCGTTCCAATCTTCTGCTTGGGAGTTTGATTGGATTACTTTTCAGCATTTGTACAAGTTTGTAACTGATAGAAAAAACGTTAATCTGTTTGAGCTGATGATCTTAAAGACAATAGATTTTGTTGAAATAGTTCTTCAATATAAGATTCGATATAATTTTTTTGGGTTGAGTGTCTCATTTTTACGGGCCACCGATTATAAATCACGGTGTCTCAATAACTTCAAATCAATCAAAATATCTAAACACAATACCACATTTTCATAACTTGTCGATAATAATATAATTCCGTTATTTTTTAAATCTCAAATGGTTAAAAAGACTTAAAAATTGTGAATTAACCGTTATACAGTTGCTGATCAATGTTAGGAATGTGTGCATTTCAGCACGTTTTCTAAGAATTTTGAAGAGCTTGAGTGAGAAGACAAATGTTTGTTTTACGAAGTATACGAAAAATTTTGCGAGTATACTTTTGTCAGACCAAGATACTGTATTAACAAACACAATATGAAAGAATTAGCCTTAAGTTTCAAGCATAGACACTAAGTTTTGTCATTTGGTGAAGTCCAATTTATAAGGCATGTTTAAAAGTCAAATTTACAAATGTTCAATCTCGTACCCAGAACCTGCGTTTCTTTCGGCCTGCGGCGAAAAACGAGGGTTCTGGCATAATCCATTTTTGGTGCATGCGCAACTTTCCGCAAGCGAAACATAATCAATGAAAATCATGCTTTCAAACCTGCTTTCAAACAGAGTTCTGTGTTTATTTCCGATCAAAATAAGAAATAGAAATCGGGAACATATTTTTTTATTTTTTGCAAGTCTTTTAACGTATACGCTCTTATACCGGAAGTCCAAGAAATCCTGGTCTCAAAAAATGGATTATGCCAGAGCCCACGTTCTTCGCCGCTGGCCAGAAAAAACGCAGGCCCTGGGTACGAGATTGACAAATGTTTTGACTAATTTACATACGGATTCAGAGCATGCGCAGACGTTTTTCACTCGTGTCATGAATGCGAGCTTGTGACCTTATTAGGATTGCGATGTAAAAATAGCCAGTTTCCTAGAAAACAAGCGTTACGCTCAAGCTTCGATTCAAATTGACGCTCTTCATGTTTGCTTAGACTTTTTTACTCGCTCAAAAAATTATTTGATCAATTAAACCGATGAAAAAGGTGCTGAAAAGGACAAAATCCTATGTTAATTGATGTAAAGATTATGGACACACCAAAACAGAACGCAAATGTGGGTATTTGAGTGTCATAATTTGAGTGGTTTATATTTGTTCGCAAATATTTCTCACGACAAAAAGCAAAGAATTCCCTAAAGCCTGTGATATTAAAGCCAATGCAATCAGATTTCTAATTTTTATTTGACTTCATTTGGTACACAAGAAACTAGATCGCTCATCGCGTGGCACATAAATCTACCACCGCGAGACGTGCAATCCAACGCATGTTTTACCACTCTAGTGATTTCCATAGTAAAACCAAATGTAAAGTGCTCTATGATATACCTAGAATGCTTGTTTTGTGGCAAATAAGTCTGTTTGTCAAGAGCTTCGTAATCACTCATGTTTGAAGCATTTTGTTTATCTTCTTCCATCATTTCCGGCTTTGAACTTTAAAATAACTTTGCTTTTCTTAACTTAGACTTACCTATGAGTTATCAGATGGGTAATCTGGATGGAGTGCCGCAATATTTGAGCGAGAAAATCGAGGAAAACTCGACAGTACAACAACCCTTGACAATCTTCCACGACGCTACAAGGAAACTGTGGGCGTCCAGGCGTTGGCGTCACATTCTCGTTCCCAGATCCTCCTCGGTTATTGTCGTCGTGTCTAGTCCGTCAATCAACGACTCAAGTAACCCAACCATTTTCCCCCTTCAGATACATACATATAAGTAAACTAGACCCACAGAATCCAAAAAATCGTGTTTCTAGAACAAGATATCGAGATAAATTGTACCTATTTTGTTGTTTGGCTTTCTACAATATTCAAGAAGTGCCACGAATGTCCTTGGTATCGAATTGTGCTTGGGCTTCCTGTGTAGCGTTCCTCTCCAGAAAGCCACATCTGATACAGTGATCCCACCATGTTTCGTCCTCTTGTACATCAACTTTAACACCGTAATGTTTCTGCCTTTCGAAATATAGAGGTAAATACTTCGTTTAAAATGTCACTTTTAGTAATTTTGATGTATGTTTTTATCTGCAAAGAGCTGTATAAGCTATATAAAAAAGTTCAAAATTTTTTTAATCCATCTTAGAAACCGGCTGTATTATGCTATAAAAGTGCTACAAATAATACTTAATTACTCTTTGGGATTTAGTTGAAATCATAGCCGCCATGTTTAGGTGGTATTAAGTTTGTTAATATAGTTTAATATAGTTTAATGTTTAGTGGTCATGTGTATTCATTATAATATAGAAGTTATATTGAAAACTACAGCCAACTATTTCTTTATATCGTCCAACATGGTGGCCATGTCTTGTTATATCATCCAACATGGTGGTCATGTCTTTTGTTATATCATCCAACATGGTGGCCATGTCTTTTGTTATATCATCCAACATGGTGGCCATG